AGTGTGGAAGTGGTCATTATCACTGAGTGCCAACCCAGCTTTCCAGAACTTTCAAAATTTTCATGTGCATATAGGTAGGCAGGGAGGACAGGACCGGTAAAATGCCAATGTGAAGCCAAGAACAGGCTGTGAAGGGAGGGGTGAATTGCAAAGGGACAGGACGAAACTTTCGAGGGTGGTGGCAAAGTTCAGTATCTTGAAAGTGGTGATGGCTTCACAGATATAAACATTTGTCAAAACTCATCAAACATGTACATTTTAAAATGAGCAGTTTATTGTACATAAATATATCTCAATAAGTTATTTAAAAATTGTAACATAAGAAAATGAGCGCAAAGTCATCCTGCTGCCGGCCTAAATGTAGTGTTGTGTGTGACAATGTGACAAACCATGTGACTTCCATGAAAAGTAGAACGAGCAACTAAAAAGGATCAGTCCACTAAACATGACAACCACGAAAGCCACACAGCTCAGGATAGGTGAGAAGCAGCAGCAAAGTAAGGGTGTCCGGAAGCAGGTGGAGAGAAAACACACAGGCAGTCATGCCCAAAAACTCTCCAAAAGGGAGCCATCTTCAAATGTGCCGTCCCAAGGAGAAACTTGAGGTTCCAGGGGTTCCTGTGATTACTTTGTTGAAGACTACTGAGCTCAAAAATTATTGTGATTACCATAGATACGACTGCCCCAGACGCTGCTTGTTTTTGTCCTCCAAAATATCTAGAGCCCAGGAGCAGAAGAGCCAGGTGCACAACACTTACACCCGAGCTGTCTGCCCAGTCCAGAACTACTGCTCTCGAGGGGCAGGGCAGTGCGTTGAAGGGAGCTTCAGCCCAGCATCTCTACTCCAAGACTCACCACCTTCATGCCCTGCCCTCGACTCCCGCACCAACTCACCCCCTCTGCACGCTCCCGCCTTCGCCCTCTGCTCTCCCCCTCCCAGCACAGGCCTGACCCCCGCGCCCCCGGGTGCCAACCTTGTCCCACATCCCTGCCCTGGGGAGCCTCAGCCCTTAGGAAATCGTGTGCACCAGTCCCTTCCACTTGGCCCCTCAGAAAGCACTCCTGCCTCGCAGACACCCCGGCTCCGCACGTGTCCTCTCCCCCGGGGCGCGCACCCCGCTCCCCCCACCCTAAACACAAGCCGGCCCCTCACCACACGCCGGCCCCTCACCCAGAACCCTCACGCCAGGGCAGCCGCCGAGCCCGCAGGCGTCATCCCCAGTCCCGCGCGTCCTCACGCGCCTCGCTGGGGTTCCGGCCCATACATACTGTTCTCTCAGAGAACCCCGACCCTGACCAGGCCCGATCGCAGCGACGGTGCTAGGTGAGTTCAGGCCGCCGCCATCGCTCCTCAGGCGCACCAGCCGCGCCCCGCCCCGCGCCACACGCAACCCGCGCCCCCGCGCACCACACGTAACCGCCCAGCGACGCACGACTGAGCAGTGGCGTGCCAGCTCATTGGCTGGGCCCGGCCAAAACCAGAGCGTCGATGCTTGTTTCCCGGCAACGGCAGGGCGCAGGGGCGGGGTCGCCGACGGCATTCCGCGCGAGAGTACCGCCCCTTCTCCAGGCCCCGCCCCTTAAGGCTGTAAGCCCCGCCCCTCAGCAAGGCTCCGGCCTGTCATTGGAGAAGACCTCTGGGGAGGCGGAGGCCAGCCGGGAGGGGGCGGAGCCTGGGGAGGAAAGGTCGAACCAGAAGGGCAGAAGGCGGGACCTAAGGAGGGAACCGACTTCGACAGCAGGGAAATAAGTGGGCGGGGCTTAGAAGAGATGGAACCGAGGCTAGCCTGGATGGGGCGGGGCCACGAGTCCTTGGGCGGACTTTAGAGTAGAGAATGGGCGTGGAGGAGGCGGGGATAGCAAGAAAAGGTGGGCCTGAGGGGGAGGAGTCAGCAGGTAGGCGGGGCTTGCTTTTTTAAAAAGCTGAGCCCTAGAGCAGGTGGCTAGCAAAACTAGTTCATTTTTTACCCATCCGCGCCCATGGTTTGGCACTGACCACTCCTGCCTCCCCTAACACCTGCTGCCTCGCGATCCCTTGGACACTCTTTTTCATTCAGTCACTCAAGGAATACAGAATAAGCGCCTCCATCTCAGGCGGGACTCCAGATCGATTAGCACCTGTCTCTGGCCTCAAATCAGCCCTTTACCTGAGGCGACTGCAATGTAGGGTAACATGTGCCACCAAACAGTAGCACTTAGCATGATTTGTGTGGATACAGGATGCAGACAAAGAAGTGCAAAGGAGCTTAGAGAATGCTTCCAGGAGCAGATGATGGCTGAGCAACCTTAAGAAACCAATAAAAGTGCGATCATGTAAGAGAAAAATGGGAGTTTCAGATAAGGTCTGTGGTTTAGTTGAAAGTATTGTAAAAAATTCCAGTTTGGGCCATTGTACTCTGGTTATATAAGTTGGCAACAGGGGGTCATATGTGAGAGCTTTTCTAGAACTTTCTGTATTGTTTTTGCAACTTTTCTATAAGCCCCAAATTACTACAAAATAGAAAGAAAGTAGGGCCTCCCCTGGTGGCGCAGCGGTTGAGCGCTGGGTTGCGAAGCTGCCTGCAGCCTCTGCAGCGCCGGTTCGACCCCGGCTGCTCCCCGGCCACCAGAGGAGGGTCCCACATGGGGCGCAGACCTCTCCTGCTGCCCGCTGCTCCCCTCAACAGTGTGTTTCGTCAGTCTTCCTGTTCTGTTCCTGGCTCTGGTGAACTCTCTCACCCTCCCGCGCTTCTGACTATACTCAGTGCTTGTGTAAATAAATAAATCTTTAAAAAAAAAAATATATATATATATATATAAAGAAAGTATTTATAAAGAAAAAGAAATGGAAGTTGCATACCAAAAGATCAGCACATACCAAGGCAAGGAAGAACTGACAACATGTTGAGGTTGCTATGGGAACTACAACTAGTACATGTCTGGAGCCTAGGGAACAAGCAGAGGAAACACTGTGAGATGAGGCTGAAAGACACAGATATCTGTTACTAGAGAGCTTTGTGGGCCATGTTAAGGGGATTAGATTGTTTTAAGATTTATTTATTTATGCATGCATGAACTGGGGTACAGGCCAGAAGTGTTGGAGGTGAGAGGATTCACCAGAGACAGAGTGGGGAACAGAACAGGCAGATTGACTGAAATACACTGCTGAGGGGCACAGTGGGTAAGTCAGGAGAGGTCTGCTGCACCATGTGGGCAGCTCCCTGGCTGGGGATCAAACTCACGCTGCAGTGGCTGCCTTAATAGTGCTGAGTCTTAACCCCTTGCACCACCAGGGAGGCCCCCTAAGGGGGTTAGATTTGGAACAACAGAGAACTCTACCTTTTTTTTTTATGCATGGCAAGATTTATAGGGTCCAAATTAGAGTAGTAAAGATGCAGAAAAATGGGTATGTGTGTTAGCCCTTTCCCTGGGGACCACCCCGTTACATGTAGACATTGCAGTTAGATCACCAGGACTTGATGACTAGATGAATATATGAAAGGAAAATAAAGATTAAAAACTGATGCTTTGTTGATATCAGTTCAAACACAGGCAAAACTAAACTATGATATGTTAGTGGGTATAGATGTCACTTCCAAGACTCTATAGAAACACAAATCTGACCATTTTCCTTCACAGGATCCCCACTGCCTTTAAATAAAAATCAAGCTTTGTACTTCAGTCAATCTGCCTGTTCTTTTCTCCACTCGGTCTCTGGTTAATCCTTCCCCCCGCCCCGCCCGCCATAACCCACACCTCTGGCCTGTACTCCAGCTCTTATATGCATAAATCAATAAATCTTTAAAAAAAAATCAAGCTTTATAACATAACTAACAAAGATCTCCCTAAACAGTTCTTTGTTTCATTCAGCCTCATCTCTCACACTAGCCCCTCAACTTCTCTACAAAAGCTAAATGATGTTCCCCCTGTCACCATGCTTTTTGAAGCCTATGCCTGTGTACTCTCTAAACACTTTGCTTCCAGTGTTCTTCACCCACCCATCTCTATACCTAACCAAACTATTTACCCCCACAGAACCCAGGCTCAGCCAGGACCTTTCTATATACTATACCAACTTCTGTGTCTCCACCCGTCAGACAGATGTGTAATTGCCTATCTACCTGCTTGCCCTACCAGACAGAGTTTCTGGAGATCAAGAAATGTGTCTCATTCATCTTTTATCTTTAATACTTAGCGTAGTATTGGCCTAAATCGTAGTAGGTGTTCTGATCATGACTTGTTGACTGAGGAAGATGACAGTAGGGAAAGGGACATCAATTTAAGGTAGAAATTTTAAGGATTTTGTTTGCTTTTGATATGGGAGATATTTAAGCATGTTCACTGAAAGAGGCTGAGGCTCTAGAAAGCCAATGGATTAGCTAATGGGATCTGGCTCTACGGGTATCAGGAAGGCAATGAGGTCAAAACATCACAGACGGCCCCCTCCAGCAGGAAGGAGGTGAAGGAGGTGTGGATGTTGATAAGGGTGCAGATAACAAAAACAGAGCTCATGTCTGAGGTGACAGGCGTTCTTTGTCCCTGGAGACCAGTTTAGTACCTGGCACAAATAAATCATTCAGTAAATAGATGTTAAATGAATAACCAGTGACACCCAAGCAGGAAACTTGCACAAAGTAAAACAGAATGAATGTCTGAGCCCACATGTGAATCTAGGCCTCCTGACCTAGAGGTCCCTTATATAGTTCAGCATATTGGGTGAAAGAGGGAAAGGCAAGGCTAACCTTACCTCTGAAGCATGCACCCCACCTTCTCCAGGGACCTCATTAGAGATGTTTAGCTGGGCAGGTGTGAGCCCAGGCCCTGAGAGACAGGGCGGAGCGCTGGAGCCTTACTGCCTCCGCCTCTTCAGTTGCACAGCTTTGGTTGTGTTGCTAAGAGCTTCAGGAACCAAAGACCGAGGAATTGCAGCTGGCGGCCAAGAGAAGCCTCTTCCACGCCAGCAGCCACTAGCCCCGACCCCTGAAGCTACCTACCAGAGAGGCCCTGGATCTCTCGCACCCAGGCACCAGGCTGCAGAATCATGAGCCAGGACAGCAAAGTGAAGACGACAGAGTCCAGTCCCCCTGCCCCATCCAAGGCCAGGTGAGGGATCCGGATCCCCTGTGTCAGCTCAGTCTTCCTCACTAGATTAAGGCACCCCCAGTGCCTCTTGGCACCGATTCCTCTCGGCACTCCCAGTGACAACCTCAATACTGACCGGTGAATAAAGGAAACATGACTTCCCCCTCTTGCCCACAGGAAGTCGTTGCCTGTCCTGGATCCATCTGGAGATTACTACTACTGGTGGCTGAACACAATGGTCTTCCCGGTCATGTATAACCTCATTATCATCGTGTGCAGGTTTGGTGGGGGCCTAAGGGAATGTCTTAAACAGAGACAAGGCTGCAAAGTGAGGCCCAGGGGAGAGAGGTGGGCCCTGGGACAGGCCTGAGGAGGGATGGCAACAGGCAAGGGCACTAGGAGGAGTGCTAAGTGGGAGATCACATCAAACGCACAGGGTGCCTTTAAGCCAATCCCTTCTGTCCCTACCATGCAGAGCCTGTTTTCCCGACTTACAGCATAGTTATCTGGTGGCCTGGTTAGTGCTGGACTATCTAAGTGACCTGCTGTACCTACTGGACATCGTGGTGCGCTTCCACACAGGTCAGTGACCCCCAACGAGTCAGTGACCCTTTATTCCTTCTTCTCTTCCTAAAGAGAAACTCCCAGTACCAGAAAGTCACCATGTCCCGGGCCTCCCCTGGTGGCGCAGTGGTTGAGCGCTGGGCTGCAAAGCTGCCTGCAGCCTCTGCAGAGCTGGTTCGATTCCCGGCCGCCTGGCAAGGTTCCCACATGGCACGCAGACCTCTCCTGCCCCGCCCACTGCTCCCACCAGCAGAGTATTTCAGTCCTTCTGCCTGTTCTGCTCCCCTTTCTGGCTCTGGTAAATTCTCTCACCCTCCGGCGCTTCTGACTGTGCCCAGTGCTTGTCTAAATAAATAAATAAATAAATAAATAAATCTTAAAAAAAAAAGTCACCATGTCCCTGACAGCACACTCACGTGTCCCCGTGTTTGACAGCACGCCTGTGCTCACCCCAGAAACCCTGCTGTAGCTTTATGCCTGCACTCACTCTGTCCTCACCACTGTTTCCCTTTCATACCTGGCCTGCCCACCCACACCAGGGTTTTGCAAGCTCATAGCGCCCTGACCTAGCCCCACACCGGACCCCATTCCACAGCTGAGTCCAGGCCCTTCTCCCCCAACCCAACTTTCCACTTCCCTACCCTCCAACCCCCTAGGATTCCTGGACCAGGGCATTCTGGTGGTGGACAAGGGTAGGATCTGCAGTCGCTATGTGCGCACCTGGAGCTTCGTCTTGGACCTGGCCTCGCTGGTGCCCACCGACGTGGCCTATGTGCGGCTGGGGCCACACACGCCCACGCTGCGGCTGAACCGCTTTCTGCGTGCACCCCGCCTCTTCGAGGCCTTCGACCGCACGGAGACCCGCACGGCTTACCCGAACGCCTTCCGCATCGCCAAACTGATGCTTTACATTTTTGTCGTCATCCATTGGAACAGCTGCCTGTACTTTGCCCTGTCTCGATACCTGGGCTTCGGACTGGACGCGTGGGTGTACCCGGACCCCGCTCGGCCCGGCTTTGAGCGCCTGAGGCGTCAGTATCTCTACAGCTTTTACTTCTCCACGCTGATCCTGACCACCGTGGGGGACACGCCGCTGCCACACCGCGAGGAAGAATACCTCTTCATGGTGGGCGACTTCCTGCTGGCCGTCATGGGGTTCGCCACCATCATGGGCAGCATGAGCTCCGTCATCTACAACATGAACACGGCCGACGCGGCCTTCTACCCCGACCACGCGCTGGTGAAGAAATACATGAAACTGCAGCGTGTCAACCGGCGGCTGGAGCGGCGAGTGATCGACTGGTGAGGGGCCTGGGCTTCGGGTGGGGTGGGAGGTTACTGGACAGAATCTGAAGAAGGTGGGGTGGGCAGGTCCTGGGGCAATTTGAGGGGGAGGGGGGCATTCAAGGTGGAGCTTGGGAAAGAAGGTTCTGCACTAATTTGATTAGGACTTAGTGGGAGGGTGTGGGTAAGAGACTGATAGGGAGAGGAATCATGCAGAATCAGGAGAAACTGGACACCAGAAAATGGAAACTGCCTCTGCCTGGTAGGCTTCAAGACCTGGTAGGAGCAAAGGAAGGATAATACTCCCCAGAGGAGGGGCCAGCAAGATGGTTGACCATGTCATGGTAGTTCATACTATTATGAGCAGAAGGAACTGTCACCAAGCTGGGGAGCTAGAGCAGAGAGCCTCTGGAGACTAAGGGTCTTAGTGATTGAAGTAGACATGAGTAGGATGGGGTCTCTGTGGTGGCGCAAGGTGTTGAGCGCAGCGCTGTGAAGCTATCCACAACCTCTGCAGCGCAAGTTCCATCCCCAGCCAGGGAGCTACCCACATGGTGCAGCAGACCTCTCCTGTCTCTCCTGCTGCTCCCCTCAGCAGTGTACTTTGGTCAGTCTGCCTGTTCTGTTCCCCGCTCTGTCTCTGTTGAATCCTCTCACCATGCACATCTCTGGCCTGTACCCCAGTTCTTGTAATCATAAATAAATAAATCTTAAAAAAAAAAAAAAAAAAGAATGAGTAGGATGGTACCAAGCACCACTGATTGGCAGGGTACAGCCCACCAGGAGGTGCAAGTATCTAATTCAACAGAGACTGAATTAGTTTTTATTAGTCTGGTAGAGATGCATGTCCTGATGAAGGTAGAAAAGGTCAACACACATTTGTGACCAGCAAAGGAGATTGGGCTGAAGATATTCAGCAATCAGCTGTCAAATATCCCCACGTGGGTGGGCCCCTGATTGAACCTGAACTGAGCACTGGTGAACGACGTCAAGGTAAGGATGTCGGGGGCTAATGAGGAATGGATACTGTTCTTGCGCTCAGGTACCAGCACCTGCAGATCAACAAGAAGATGACCAATGAGGTGGCCATCTTACAGCACTTGCCTGAACGGCTGAGGGCAGAAGTGGCTGTGTCTGTACACCTGTCTACTCTGAGCCGGGTGCAGATTTTCCAGAACTGTGAGGCCAGCCTGCTGGAGGAGCTGGTGCTAAAGCTGCAGCCCCAGACATACTCACCAGGCGAATATGTCTGCCGCAAGGGGGACATCGGGCGAGAGATGTACATCATCCGCGAGGGTCAGCTGGCCGTGGTGGCAGACGATGGCGTCACGCAGTATGCTGTGCTTGGTGCAGGGCTCTACTTCGGGGAGATCAGCATCATCAACATCAAAGGTGGGCACCCCAGAATTTGTTCCTGGTACAGGCCTGGGAGGGTGGGGACAGCAAAACCCATTCTGAGACCAGGTGGTATTTCAGGGCCTCCAGACTGAGGAAGCCTGGCCCTTGTGTGAGTCACTAGGGGCTCAGAAAGAAGCAGAATAGGGAAGCTCTGTTTCCTGAGGCAAAAATTGGCCAAGGTGAGTGAGTAGGTAGGGGCCTTAAAAGAGAGAGCAGACCTATTCTGCGGGTGGAAAGTGGCAGACCCATGGAAAATTACAGAGAATAATAAATTCTTTTATAATAAGTAACAGTAATAGTAGCTAACATTTACTGAATGGTTACCGCCTGCCCTATTCAACTGCTTCACTTGCACCAACACATTAAATTCTCACCTATGAGGTAGGTACTATTAGCTGCATTTTAAAGGTTAGGAAATTGGAGCACAGGAAGGTTTGGGAATTTGCCCAAGGTCATGCAGAGAATAAGTCCACACACTTGGGGTCAATATAAGGAACAACTTTCTCATAGTCAAATGGAAAGGACCATCAAGCCCAGACCCACAGGTGCTGCACACCAGTTCATTTATGCCTCTCATCAGCCCTGGGCAGTAGGAGTTGCAATGCCTAATTACAGGTAAAGAAACTGTGGTCATGGGAGATCTAAAGGGGGGTGAGTGTGCTCTCTCTGATTGTGTCTGGGGTCAAGGGGTCCACTATGTAATTCCTCTAAAAGGCTCACATCTGTTTCCCAAAGATCACATCCTGAGTGCAGGCAGCCACTGTCCACTTGACTTTGGACAAGCTATTTGCATTTTTAGATTTGTTTCTTCACCTATTCAATAGGAATGAAAACTCAGCTATTTGTGAGGATTTGATAAGCTCATGGGTGAGGGACCCAACACAGTGCCTGGCCTGTAACAGGTGGTCATCAGTGGTTCCTTTCTATGGTCCTTCTAGCTCTGAGACTTTGCAGCATTCAGCCTAACCATCCTCCCATCCATCCCCCACCAGTATCTTTCTAAAATACAAATGAGACCATACAGATCCCTGATACAAATAGTCCAATAATTTCCCCATCCTCAGCACAATGTGGGTGTGGGAACTTCTTGTCATAGCTTAGGAGACATGGCAGGATGTGACTCTTTCCTCCTCTTTCCAGTCTCCTCATTCCCTGTACCTCAGCCTCTCTGACTGCTTTTTGTTTTTGCATCCATCAAACTCTCTCTTACCCCCTCTCCTCTACTCATGCTCCTCCCTCTGCCTAGCTGCCTCCCCTACATTCCCCCATCTCTCTAGTACCTTCTATTTGATTCAATCATTACTTCCTTCCCTGAATTCTTTGCCTTACTGCTTGTTAGGGGCTTGTTGCTTGTCTCTCCACAGCCCCGATACCTGCATCTACACTGCACCAGCTACACTGTTATATAACCATCCAATTAAACATCTCTCTCCTCTAGGCTGAATTCTTGGAAACTAGTCATAGATAGCCTAGCACAGGGCCTTCTCCCCAGTACATTACTGAATAAAAGAACTGGTGAGGCAGAAAGAGGCCCAGAAGCGCAAACATGGAGTTAAGGGGCCTGGTTCATCAGTGAAGTGCCCCCTCACACCCACCCTGACTAATTATCTCCCACTCTGTCTGCCCACGGGCCACAGGGAACATGTCTGGGAACCGCCGCACTGCCAATATCAAGAGTCTAGGCTATTCGGACCTGTTTTGCCTGAGCAAGGAGGACCTTCGGGAAGTGCTGAGTGAGTATCCACAGGCCCAGACTGTCATGGAGGAAAAAGGCCGTGAGATCCTGCTCAAAATGAACAAGTTGGACGTAAATGCTGAGGCAGCTGAGATTGCCCTGCAGGAGGCCACAGAGAACCGGCTGCAGGGCTTAGACCAGCAACTTGATGACCTACAGACCAAATTTGCTCGCCTCTTGGCTGAGCTGGAGTCCAGTGCCCTCAAGATCGCTTATCGCATTGAACGGCTGGAGTGGGAGACTCGAGAGTGGCCCATGCCCGAGGAGGCAATTGAGGCAGATGATGAGGGCGAGGCTGGGGAGGGAACATCCAAGGGTGGAGAGAATTAAGCTGACCAAGTGGGGGCCTCAGGCCCAGAGTGACTCCATCCTTATCCCCAGGACCCCCACCTCTAAGTCAATCCAGAGTTGTAGAAAAGCCTGTCTGCAGAAAATCTGACATCCTGTCTGCTAGGTTCCAGAGACTGGCGTGACTGGGTATGTAGATACCCTCCTAGAGATGTAGGGGAATAGCATACATCACACACACACACACACACACACACACACACACTGACCCCAAGGCAGTGCATTCCATATGAAGTGCTCTGATGTTCCCATTCTCAGAGCACAGATGTTTCTCAAAAACATAGATATATCTTCTACCTGCATAATATATTACACTCAACTGTGCACCCCACAGACACATATACCGAGAGTCATGCACCAATAGACACACCAAGGCCTTCCCTCAAGTGCATTCACTTATGAATATACAAAAGCATACCTGGGTCCTCTTGTTCCAAGATATCCTTTAATGCCCCCATATGCGAGGGCCATAAGTGTACCCTGCAAGTTGCACTTTCAATAAAGTATTTGCCACCTTAATGAGCACTCGTGGAGTTGATGGGAAAAGACAAAGCCAATGGTGGGGCCAGGATGAGTTCTGTCTTAAATGCTCAGTTACAGGGGTAAGGGTGAGGACTGGTAACCACAGGATTGGAGTCAAGAGACTGGGGTACCTGATGAGTCGGGAATCAGTGCTGAGCCAAGGCGCAGCAGGTGTAGGCCCCACAATGCTATAGGCATGCACGTGCTTGCACCGATATATTAAGACACGCCAGTCAGTGCACTTCAGTGTTAAAGTCCTCTACCCTGGGAGCCCCGGGAGTTTGATGTTGCTTAGTGGGCCACCTTTTTTCTGTCCATCCTTTTTCCTCCTCTGCTTCAACCCTGGAGCCCAGGGAAGTGCCGCCTTTGTTCAGGATTCCCTGGAAAGAATATTTCTCTGGATCCTTCACCTGGCCCTGGCCCATCATACCAGTTGTTGGAACTAGCCTTGGTGCTGGCAGGAAGTCAGCTTTTCTCCTCTGTACAATAGTCCAAAATATAGGGTGGAGAACAGAAACTCAGTGGAGTGGAATATCATGCTTGGGGACAACTGGAGATGAAGGATGTGGGGGTTGGAGTAACTTTGGCTTACTTGGAAGGAGGTCTGAAGGTTGGGGCAGGGAAGGGTGTGGGATCTGTGGGGAGGAGTTTGATGCCATCTCTGAGTGACAGTCACCTGGTGACTTTAGCACCTCCAGGGCCTGGCCAGCCTGGGGTTCTGAGCTATGTCAGGTAGTGTTTTTAAATGTGTTTGGGATTTAATTTATCAATATGACTGACAACACAGAGATGTCAATGTCATTAAGAAGAATTTATGACTTTAATCCCTAAGAGGAGGGGCAAGATGAGCTGGGCAAGAACATGTGAGGAAGCCCCACGTCAGGCCAGGAGAGAGAAGGAACGAGGGAGAGCATGGGCAAAAGGCCTTTATTGCTATAGTGATGGAAGTTTTTAGGTGGGGATGTCCTCTATCAGGCAGGAAGTAAAACACACATTTGGGGGTTCATAATATGATTTTCTAGCACCGGTGAAAGCCAAACCACAGGAGATGTGAACCACTTTGATAATTTTGGCCCATTATTTCAAGATGCCAAATAATCATTTACAAAATATCAGGTATGATTGTTTCAGATGGTACAAAAGAATGTAGGGTATGTAGGGTGAGGTCCGTGGTGCTTTGAAGGCAGCATATCTAGGGAGCATCTGTTAACCATTTGGTCAAAGAGATGTTCCCCCAGAGTTGTCGGTACCCTCAGAGCTGGCCAACCTTTGGAATGTGTTGGTTATAGGTGACACAGATGCACTCAGACACGAAGGACCTGGAACAAAATTTTCTCAAGTAGCCATGGGAACTGAGGCTATGGTGGCGTCCAGGTGTCAGGGGAGTTTATGAGGGTCAGGACACATGAAATCATTTTAAAACATGTAGTTATTTTGTGATACCTTCTTCACAAAATATGAGATCCTTAGGGCTGGCACTGGATCTGTCTTATTTATCTCACACTGTCAAGACCAAAGTTGTGCCTGGCACATAGCAGGGGCCTAAATATACCTTCAGCAACTGAAAAAAATGGGAATTGAAGTAGATAGAGGCCCAATGTTGGGGGAAGATATATGACAATTTCTCAACAGATTATTGTGCTGTCTCTGTCTTCAAATTGTGCTAAACTATATCGAGTGGGTTTGTTAAAAAGGCCGTTTTGGTGGCATCCAATGGATTTAAGGAGCTGAGAATGTTTTTCATTGCATGAGACAGTATGTACACCTGCCCCAAGTGACGGTTCTCCTGAAACAGCTGGCTCCTGCCACAACATCGAACCCTGACCTTCAGCACAGGGAGGGTGATGACTGGACATCTGCCTATCTTGACTATAGAAACAAAACTCTCCTGGGGCAAGCTGCACCTCTTGCCCTGCCTCTTTTGTTCGAGGGTAAGGAGAACATATTCCTCCTGGTGGGGTCACCACACCAGAAGACACATTTCATGTGAGTGATTCCATGCTGGTGTCCTCTAGCTGTGGAGGGATTTCCATCACTGTGCAGAACATATTTTTGCATTTTGGAATCAAGCTGGATACTTAGGGTGGGAAGAAGGAACTAAAACAATGATCATCATCATTGCAATAATATTTTAGTCCAAAGAAGGATAAGTACTTACACATGTGGCAGGAAACTTTTTTGAGATATTCATTTGGGTTCTGTTATTTTCTCCCTCCCCTCATCATAAGAAAGTACCTAACTCATTGTTTCCCCTAGATGTAAACCTTTTTGAACTGCAGGGTCAAAACCAGAAATTTTCTGAAACTCTCTGCCCTTTGTGAAAACCAGGGCTTCTAGGTTCCCACAAATAGTTCACCCAGGGTTAACTTGTTCCTGATTGGCTGTGAGGGCTGAGTTGAAGAAGCAGAAGCTTCTGGACCTGAGGAGAGGAAATTCCCCAACATTATGAAGAGACTGGGTCACAGGCCTGAGCATTATATTGGTTTATCACTATTGTTGCTGTTGTTATTGTTTTATTTTGGCTGCTGTGACATATAACCACAAATTCAATAGCTTAAAATAGCACCCACTTACTATCTCACATTTCAGTGAGACAGAAATCATGTCCTCTGTCCAGGACCTCGCAAGGCCACAATCAAGGTGTCAGCTGGGCTGGGCTCTTATGTGGAGTCTCTGAGGAAGAGTCAGCTTCCAAGATTATTCGTGTTGCTGGAAGAATTCAATTTCTTTTGGTTGTAGGACTGAGGTCCTTGTTTCCTCAACAGAGCACCCCGTCATCTTTAAGCCAACAGGGGCACCCTCAACTGTTTTCGTTCTTCAAATTTCTTACTTCCCCTCCTGCTACAAGGCTGAGAAAGATCTTGCTCTTCAGGGCTCCCATGATTAGATTCGATGCATCCAGATAATCCAGGATTATTTCCCTATTTTAAGATCAGAGGATTAGAAACTAATTACATCTGCAGTGTCACTTTTGCCATAATAAGAGAAATAATACCAGAGGGAAAAGGTAATGGGAGCCAAAATTCTACCTATCAACTTCTCCCCTATTCTGGAGGGGAATGGAGCCCAGGTCCCCCTTTTACAGGGGTCCCAGAATAAGAAACAAGAATTGAATTTCTAGAAGCTGGAGAAAGATCACCCTGCCCTGGAAACTCGGAACAGCGCCACCTAGGGGAATCACCGGCTTGACCAAAATGCAGACCCCCATAACCAGCCTGGTCTGGGTCTGGAAGCTGGAGGCCTTTCCCTGCTCCAGGGATTCTGTCTGGTGCAGAAAACTCAGAGACTTTTGCAGGACCCTAAATTATGGGGAGAGAAAATGAAAAGAAAGCCACAAAACGCTTGATATTAAATCTTGTGTAGGGTAGGTGGTTAAAAGCTTAGATGAGAATTGTCTGATTCAGAGAATCAGAAAAATGTCCATTTTTTTATACTCTGTAATGGAATCATTCATAACTGCTTATATACATTATTCCTTACCTCTTATAAGAGTGTTAAGAAGTTTAAATTATGCTCATTTTCTCACATCATGAAACTGAAACCCACAGAGCAACTAAAAATAGTAGATTCATTTTGTTGAAAAGCTGACTGTGCCCAGTCCCACACTAAGTGCGTTGTCTCAATCAGTCCTTACAACTATATGAGAAAGATGCTATTACCAGCCCCATTTCAAAATGAGGAAACCAAGACTCTGGGAGATCAGATCACTAGCCCAGTATCACAAGGCTTCTAAATCACATAGAATGAAATCTGGGTCTGCCTTACTGTTTTGTTTTTGTTTTTTAAGGGAGATAAGGAAAGAGACATCTCAGCTTTAGGCCAAGGCCAAGCTCTTTCCTTTCTTGAGAATAATTGCTACAAGCAGAAACAGCGGTAACCAGGGAAGAAGGAGCCAGTCATGCAGAGCAAAATTTGTGAATCACCAGCAAGTTTGCCAGTGTGCTGAAGTGTGATCTCAGGGCTGCAGCCAAAGACCAGAGACCACCCACTGCTCTGGGGAGGAGATGCCAATTCCAGCCTCTGGCCTGCAACACATGCAGCTGTGGGAAGAGGGCAGGAGCTTGGATTTCCACTGCGGTGTCAAGAACTCTTAAAGGGCTCTTCTGCAGAGGGCCCAGCTGCATCTGGTTTAGCTCATCTCCCTCCTACAGAACCTGGGGCCTCACCCGCTTCTCCCTGGGTCACGCACCTCAGGACACCTCCCCTGGCTAGGAGTGGAGCGGTACACGTCTCCCATTTAGTTCCTCCCCCACAGAAGCTTCTTTGACCCACCCACCCCACCTCACCCTTGTCTTTAGGAGGATTTGGCTGCTCACCAGGAAGACAGATGGGAATAAAGCACCAAGTTTGGGAGCAAAACAGATTCATAGGGAGAAGAACAGTTCAACTCCAAGGAGCCAGAAGCAGGTGGCAAGGTGGGTGGATTCCACCCTGAACTAGGGCTCGGCTTCAGGCTCAGATCAGAGATGAATGGTCACACTGGGTTACAGTGAGGTCACAGTCATGGCTGGACTAAAAGCATGACAGAAGAAAGAGCTTGGAGCCAGTGAGAGACAGATTTTAGTTCTGAAATAGAGCTCTTATTAGTGGAGGACTCCAGACCTCCCACAAAATCTTTCAGGGCTGTTGAAAAATAAAATGTAAATTAGATCATGACAGGAAAGTGTCCAAAAGATAGAAAGTGCTTAATAATGAGTAGTGGATACCACCGTTACCCTGACCCCTCAGCCGCTGTGGATTGCACCTTCATGGTCCTTAGGGTGTCAGTTGTCTGGCCAGGCAGAACCTGGGGCCTGGGGGCCCTCCTGGCAATGCCAGACCTGGCCAGCAGAGGGCGCAGGGCCTCCCTTCCCTCTCTCTCCCTCCCCAGGCCTCAGGATTTCATTGCCTTGTAAAGCAAGAATTACCAGGTGGGGTGGGGGGAGAAATGGAATATTAGGGACAGGAAATGATGCTCGGGGATCGTGTTTTCTCCTGGTTTGTG